TCTCTCTCTCTCTCTCTCTCTCTCTCTCTCCTCCACGCTGTTACCTCTTTGTCCCTCTGTACTCTCGAGGCGCGTCCCTCGCTGTTGCGCTCCCGGGCTGCACTTCGACTCCTGTCGAGACGACAGAACGCCATAAGCAACCAATTTAAATGTAAATTGAAAAGCAGCGCGGCATACAAATTGTTCGACTCGCCGTCAAAAAATACTGCGAGCAAAGATCAAACGGAAGACAAGACGTAGCGCGAGGGTAGCACGAGAAGGAGCACGAAGAGGGTACGGCGAGAATGCCGCGCGGTGATAGAACGAGAGGGAAACAGCCGGTCTCCTCCTTTCCTCTTCCTCCTCTTCCATTTCCTCGCGGAGTCGTTCCGCGCGCCACGTTTGCCACGGCCACCGACACGCTGATAAATTCTTCGTTAAATATTTGCGTTCACCGGGGCACCGGGGATCCTGTTCCGGTGGAACCGCGCGTCCCCTTCCGTTGGAGAACCTCTCTCACCGGAACGAGCCGATCCGTCGCAGCCGCTGCTACTTTCATGAATCTCTGCATTTTTGCGATACTGCGTTATTTCTCTCTCTCTCTCTTCTTTTTTTAATTTCTTTATTGCTCAATATCAGTATTTAGGGTTCTGGATTTTTTTCATTATTTATCAGAGAGTTTAATACAAAATTCTATTACCTCGATCAAAATGAAGTTCAAAAGGAAGGTCTACGAGAAGGTTTCAGAAAATATCCGCGCGAGTTTTTAATAAGTAAAATCTCTAATGGTTGGTATTAATTTCGCCATTGAAGAGTGTAACAACTCAGGCTTGCATGCTTTAGAATTGGATCCAGAATTTTCAATTTAATTCAACCAATTACGTTCGTTACTAATCTCAATGTCACGTATTTCGTTCGCCAGTTGCGTATTCACAAAACTACATGTATAAAAAAAAAAAAAAAAAAAAAGAAATAGTTAGAATACAGCGTGTACCTAACCGAAACGAGTGTTCGACACATTGTCCCCGTTCCTTTGTCGAGTGTCCTATGCGGGTCAGGTCTCGGTTAAACGTGAACCAAAGGGCCCTTTCTTGCAACCGTATCAATGGACGGGCGCGTCTTTCACGTAAATCGGAAAGAGCAGACGTTCCCCGTCGGAACGGAAATGCAGCGTAGAAATTTTTCATTCGCCGGGAGTGCAGTTGGCCCGCGCCGGCCTGTTGAAAAATTCAGCGGGTTTGCTCGCGAACGAAAGCCGGAAAAACGGCAATGGGGACCGGATTGAATGGGCTTCCGGCTTGTTTTTTGTTTGCCAGATTTTTCAGAGATGATTCTCTGATGGAAGACAGCGGTGCGGTCTACGGTACCGTGGTGCAAGCAAAACGCTTGTTCCGCCCGAAAGTAAACATCCGAACGAGCATTCCGAGTTACGGTAGCAAACAGTAATGGTGAGGTACGCGTTATCGTACCCTCCGGCCTCGATGTTATTTCAGACAGACCTCGTGGAAATCGAGCTCCGAAAGTCGGATGTACGCGCGTAAATGATACATCATCGGGTTTCGTTCGTCGCCAATTAATAACTTCCATCCTGATTGGCAAATTGATTCGAGAAGCTTCTCGATTTCCCTTTGGAAAGTACAGCTGTACCACCATGACAATGAAAAATCGTCGATAATTCAAACTGACGTAACGTTTGAATTTTTACAATTTTCCGGAAAGGAAAAAACGGTATTTCCTTTCATTTCCTCACCTGCTACGCGATGTAAAGTCATCTTCGAAAAGAAAAAGAAAGAAAAGAAAAAAAAAACCGAACACAACTGTCGAAGCTGAGGCTTCACGCTTTGAAACGAGACCAGGTGAATCGTTAGGTGATCTTTTTTTTTTTTACGACGTTAAATCAGTTGAAATTATCGACAATTTTTCATTGTCAGTGGTACAGTTAAATTGAAAGAGCTCTTCGTTGTGATCGATTTTAATATACGAAATAATAGAAGTTCTATTTCGTCTGCTTTTTCTTAACATCGAATTAAAATTCTACAGTTATAATAGAGTATAATATTTGCCTTAATATTTATGAATTATATTAAATATTTGAACGATAATCTATATACTTATTTGCAATTAAATAGTAATTTTAATAGTATATATTTGCACAATGTTTGGGCGTAAATTACGTGATTGCTCAGAGATAATATGAATGCAAATAACGATACGATAATGAACGGCAAAACGGTATTAAAATCTCTCAGAGATCTGATACTAAGAAGTTGACAAGCCAGATATGTCATTTTGCATTACGAGCACGAGTTTAATAGAAATATATCCAGATTACGTGTGCTTTCAATTACGAAGATCTAAATTCATGCGAGCAAGACCGAACAGATACGAGCTCGTCGAAATAAAGTATATCGGGCGCCGCTTTGATTGCAATGGATTAAAACGTACCCGTGAAAATTCTCCAATAAAGAGCAACAATTTCATTCGATCGTAAAAGTATCTAC